GGTGTCAGTGGGGGGAGGAATAGTGCCCCATCGTTGGTGTCAGTGGGGGGAGGAATAGTGCCCCATCGTTGGTGTCAGTGGGGGGGAGGAATAGTGCCCCATCGTTGGTGTCAGTGGGGGGAGGAATAGTGCCCCATCGTTGGTGTCAGTGGGGGGAGGAATAGTGCCCCATCGTTGGTGTCAGTGGGGGGAGGAATACTGCCCCATCGTTGGTGTCAGTGGGGGGAGGAATAGTGCCCCATCGTTGGTGTCAGTGGGGGGAGGAATAGTGCCCCATCGTTGGTGTCAGTGGGGGGAGGAATAGTGCCCCATCGTTGGTGTCAGTGGGGGGAGGAATAGTGCCCCATCGTTGGTGTCAGTTGGGGGAGGAATAGTGCCCCATCGTTGGTGTCAGTGGGGGGAGGAATAGTGCCCCATCGTTGGTGTCAGTGGGGGGAGGAATAGTGCCCCATCGTTGGTGTCAGTGGGGGGAGGAATAGTGCCCCATCGTTGGTATTAGTGACACAAATGATGGGGCACTATTCCTCCCACTGACACCAATGATACTTACCTTGCTGACCCCTGCTCCAGCCTGGGCTCGCTCTCTCACTTACCTGTCAGCTGTCTTCCTTCTCTGGCCGTTCTCCTCTTCACTCGCTCCGGCAGCTCCCTCGATCTTCTTTGATGTACGCGCGCTGCCGCTCGGCTCCTCCTCTCCAAGCTCCACCTCCTCGCCGGTGATTGGCCGCCTCTGTGCCTCTCCTGAGCTACAGTTCCGGTGGCCAATCAGCGGCGAGGAGGCGGAGCTGCTGAGCGACCACGGAGGTGTGGCCAGGTGACAGGAGCAGCGTATCATCCCGCCCACACATCGCCTGAGACGGAGGAGCGGTGTCTCGGTTCCTAAGACCATCGGAAATATGTGTTTTCCGATAACCGCTGCTTTACAGTGTTTTGTGACTGGGAAAACTACAAGTACTCAGCCTTTGAGGCTGATGGCTTGTAGTTCTACCAGGGAGCTGTTGAACGCTCTAGTAGTTCATTGAGTCTTCCTGTCAGTGTGTAATAGCCTGCCCGAATCAGAGGTACGGGCAGACAGCTACACAGTTTGCAGGACTGTGGCATTAAACCCACAAGCTGCTGATCGTGGGTGCAATGCTTTACAGGTTTCTAACATAAAAAAAAAAAATGCATAGTTTTTTACCTGCAAAAATATATGCATTTATTATTTTTTGTAAAGGTGAACTTACCTTTTGAACATGTAGTTATGCCTACATAGGGCAGTATCTTTTGTTTTCACTAGGACTCTTGGGCAAAGTTGGGTAGTATTTGCTATGGCAAAGGCAAATGGGCAGGACTGATGTTTGCATCTGCTTTTCATCTGACTCTTCTGTCTTTCTTTCTTACTTAAAGCTACCCCTGCCCCCTCTTCCTGAAGCTCAGCTCTTCCAGTTTGGCTTCCAGGATTCACTGTATACTGTACAAAGAAACATACAAGCGTCATATAAGTGTAGCAGTAAATAAATACAAGTCACTGACAAAAAGGAGGTAATAAAAAGCTCATCAGTATACAGTGGATATAAAAAGTCTACACACCCCTGTTAAGATGTCGGATTTCTGTTACTTAAAAAAATGAGACAAAGATAAATAATTTCAGAACTTTTTCCACCTCTAATATAACCTATAAACAGTACAACTCAGTTGAACAACAAAACAGAAATCTTTTAGGTGGAGGGAAGTAAAAACAAAAAACTAAAATAATATGGTTGCATAAGTGTGCACACCCTTAAACTAATACTTTGTGGAAGCACTTTTTGATGTGAATCCAGCAGTCTTTTTGGCTATGAGTCTATCAGCATGGCACATCTTGACTTGGCAATATTTGTCCACTCTTCCTTGCAAAATCACTCCAAGTCTGTCTTTGGCATCTCCTGTGCACAGCCCTCTTCAGATCACCCCACAGATTTTCCATCAGATTCAGGTCTGGGCTCTGGCTGGGCCATTCCAAATCTTCTTCTGGAGAAGCCATTTCTTTGTTGATTTGGGTGTATGCTTTGGGTGGTTTTCATGCTGAAAGATGAAGTTCCTCTTCATGTTCAGCTTTCTAGCAGAAGTCTGAAGGTTTTGTGCCAATATTGACTGGTATTTGGAACTGTTTATAATTCCCTCTACCTTGACTAAGGCCCCATTTCCAGCTGAAGAAAAATAGCCCCAAAGCATGATGCTGTCACCACCATGCTTCACTGTGGGTATGGTGTTCTTTTGGTGATGTGCAGTGTTGTTTTTGTGCCAAACATATCTTTTGGAATTATGGCCAAAAGGTTCCACCTTGGTTTCATCAGGCATAACACATTTCCCACATGCTTTTGGGAGACTTCAGATATGTGTTTGCAAAATTTAGCTGGGCTTGGATGTTTTCTTCATAAGAAAAGGTTTCCGTTTTGCCACTCTACCCCATGGCCCAGACATATGAAGAATGTGGGAGATTTTTGTCACATGTACCACACAGCCAGTACTTGCCAAATATTCCTGCAGCTCCTTTAATGTGGCTGTAGGCCTCTTGGCAGCCTCCCAGACCAGTTTTATTCTCGTCTTTTCATCAATTTTGGAGGGACATCCAGTTCTTGGTAATGTCACTGTTGCGCCATATTTTATTCACTTGATAACTATCTTCACTGTGTTCCATGGCATATCTAATGCCTTGGAAATTCTTTTGTACCCTTCTCTTGACTGATACCTTTTAACAATTAGATCCCTCTTGTAATTTGGAAGCTCTGTGCAGACCATGGCTTTTGCTGTAGGATGCAACTAAGAAAATGTCAGGAAAGACCTACTAGAATAGCTGAACTTTTTATGGGGTTAATCAGATGCACTTTAAATGATGGCAGGTGTGTACTGACTCCTGTATAACATGATTTTGAATGTGATTGCTTAATTCTGAACACAGCTACATGCCTAGTTATAAGAGGGTGTGCACATATGCAACCACATTATTTTAGTTTTTTATGTTTTCTTCCCCCCCTGAAAGATTTCAGTTTGTTTTTCAATTGAGTTGTACAGTTTATAAGTCACATTAAAGGTGGAAAAAGTTCTGAAATTATTTCTTTGTCTAATTTTTTTACATTTTAAAAGGGGTGTGTAGACTTTTTATATCCACTGTATCACTGTAAAGGGTGTCTGGTATGCTGACTCCAGCCACAGATGATAAAATGAACACCGGAGGTTCCTATGGAGCGGCCCCAGCTGGGAATCAAAGCCTTCTGGGGACAGCAGGGGTGGTGGACGTGATTTCACCAATGACACGATGTAGGTATGGCGACACGTTTGCGGAGCGTGCATGCGCCTTTAGGCCATTCGGCATTAGGTAGGATGTGGTATATATAAGGGCATCAGTGGCCGTAAAACAAGACGTCCTGGCTGATCCGGTGCAACCCACAAAAAACAACGGATGACGAAACAATAGAATTAGATGACAGCAACTATAAACCTAAAAACAGATTGAAACAATAAAAATCTTGGTACTTACAATTGATGAATTCATTAAGTCTGTCATTACCAAAAAACCATCCCCCTGAGAAAAATGCAGAAGCGAAACTTGTGTATAAAGATAAGTAAATTTAAAACATGGTTAAATTAATAAAAATAAAATTAGTGTGAAGCCACATACAATAATGTTAATCATAAAAAGAGGCAGGAAGAAACCATCATGGAGCTGTATCCATATCAGTCATACAGCACAGTTGGTGGAACCATAATAAGTATTTTGTATATGTATCCAACTATAAATATATATTCATAAAAAATATGAATATACTGTAGTATGTGTGTAAGGGTTATGCCCAAGGAAGCATGAATATTACAACTAAAAAATATAACTGAAATAGGATAAAACTAAAAAATTTAAGACAGACAGAAAAAATAACTGTTTGATTATATTGGGTTAAAAATGAATGTCTATTTCACCATACTGACTCTATGTCCTCGTTGAGGCCCTTCGGTGCAAGCATGTCCAGTGTTTATATGTAGAAGATCTCCCTTTGCCAGGGATGTTTGCAGTGCATTGCCGCAGGAAACATGCCACCAGGAGGATGCCGAATGGCCTGAAGAAGGAGCGTGCATACCTTGCAAATGTGTCGCCAACCTACATCACATCTTTGGTGGCATCACATCCACCTCCCCTGCTGTCCGCAGAAGGCTTTGATGTCCAGCTTGGGCCGCTCCATTGGAATCTCCAGTGCTTGCTTTACCATCTGCGATATGCATCTGAGTCAGCATACCAAATGCCCTTTTCAGTGATATACTGATGAGCTTTTATTACCTCCATTTTGTGAGTTGCTTTCTTAGTGCAATACATTTGTTTATTTACTGCTACACTTAAATGGCGCTTGTGTGTTTCTTTGTATCGTTTGCACTGCAACGAGGCTTCTACGTCTAAATACAAGCTGTCTGAAGTGTGTGCACCCTCCATGGACTTTATATTTCATTGATAGACTTTGGACTTTATAAGGGACCATTCACTCTAGGAACTGCATGTGAATCACACAAACTCTGTGTGATCCACATGCAGTTCTGTGAAGTGCAGTTTCAGCCCATTCATTTTGAATGGGCTGAAATCTCACCGCACCGCTCCAAAAGTAGTGCATACACTACTTTTTTAAAGGATAAGTTCACCTTTGGGAACATGTTATATTTTCCACTCGTTTTTACGGTGAAACCTGTAACATGTTCCCATTGCTGCAGCTGCTGTCTGATTATTACTTTTGTACCATGCGATCCGATGCAGGCAAACAGTGTGTTTGTGACCTGCATGTGGTGTTAACTTTTAACTGACCCCTGGAGCAGATCACAAAGGCAATGCAATCAGAATGTAATGCAGGAAGCTGCGTGGGAATATGGCTCTCCTGCACTGCATTCATGTGTGAACGAGCATCCAGATATCCCTGGGCTAGGTCTTTTGTGTCCTGCACTATATAATTTCTCCTTTTTTGTCTCCAAGATTCACTCTAACCTGCCATTGACTAAGAATGGATGTGGTGGAAGCGTGGGTGAAGGATCAGCTTCATGAAATTCTGGGTATGAGCGATCGTCATGTGGCCCAGTTCCTCGTTGGCACTGCTCGACGGAGTTCAAGCGCTGTAGATTTCCTAAGCCGTCTAAGTAGCACAGGAGTAATCGATATCACAGATAAAGTGAAACGCTTTGCAGAGGAACTCTGGATGAAGGTGAGAGCTCTCTGTGCTCTTCGTAGACTGTAGCGTGAAAAAACAATCAAAGGTATTAATTGGTCTGTCATTAGACTAAGAATACAGGATGTTTGATGTAAAATGTTAGTGATATTTATTGTGTGCTTAATTAGGCCTGTCTACAATGTGTTATATAGAAATTTAACTTAAATCTTACTGGTACGTATTTATTATGTTCATCAATCATTCCATCCTCTGTCTGCTATTGAAGGTAAACGTCACATACCAGTCATTATTAGAAAAGTAGTAACAATTCCCTTCTTAGAATTTTTCTATGCACTACTGACAACGTAAAACTTTATTAATGGAGTTCACATGCTGCTAAAGGTGTCCACACGTGTAATTTTTTTAGTCAATTTCAACTACTTTCGAGCCACTGGGATTTGGAAATATTGAAAATACACTGCTCAAAAAAATGAAAAGAAAAAAAAACACATCAGATCTCAATGGGGAAAAAATATGCTGAATATCTATACTGATATGGACTGGGTGTCAGAGCCTGGGATCGAACTTGGTCCTTCTGCAGTGGGAGGCAATATCTCTTCTCACTGAGCTATCTGGAATGCTGGACAGCTCCCTTGACAATTCTTGGATAATCCTGCCTTGTGCCTTGATTTCTCTTGAACCTTGAACTCCTTGCTCCTCCAATGAACTTCCTTATAAAAGCCATGTCCATGCACTTCCTCCTTGCCAGATTATTGTGCTTTACCAGCCAATATCCCGCTTACTGTTCCTGCTGCTGTCTTCATCTACGTTACCGACCTTTGGCTTGCTACTGACTACGATTCTGCCTCATCCTATCTACTACCATTGGTGACCGACCCTTGGCTTGTGACTGACTCCGCTTTTGTTTGATCTCTGAACTGTTTGATCCGCTTTTGGTTTCCAGCCTACTCATTCCCTGGTGGGGTGATCCTGAGATCTGCGACCTGGCATTCACACACAGCCAAATCCATCTCCACCATTAGGAGCTCTGGGGAAGACCGGTGGATGCTTAGACCCCCGCACCTCAGGTGAGCCTGCGTCATTCCCAGGGTGGGCCGCTGGTGTACCAATTCTGCTGGTTTCAGGTAAGCCTTACAACTGCTGTAGCAACTGGTCTCTAAACCTGACCTTATATCGTGACAGAATAATCTGGCCCAAAACATGGAGGCCGCTATAGCAAATGCCATGGCTCCTGTCAGGCAGAAAATTTCAGAGCTGCAAGAGTTTGGTGTTACCTACCAAGAAAAATTTTCTGAACTGCAAGGTATAGTAGAAAGGCAACAGGGAGAGATTCAGGCTCTGCAGAGACAACTGCTAAACCGAGATGATCCTAGCTCCCATATGCCCCAGCCCCAACCAGCTAAGTTTAATGGAGACCGCCGCCACTACAGGGGTTTCCTTAATCAATGTCGTGTATATTTCCAAATGTACCCTGCTGCGTTTCCGTCAGAGAAAAAGAAGGTAATGTTTATTATTGGGCTTCTGACTGGGGAAGCTCTAGCTTGGGCCTCCCCTTATATAGAGCAGAACCATAGCATTCTGAATAATTTTGATACCTTTTTGACTGCAAAGAATCAGGTTTTTGATGATCCCAACCGTTTTGCTACTGCCGAAGCAAAATTGCATAGTCTGCGGCAGGGTAGACGCTCGGTCACTGTGAATATACAGCCGAATTCAGAAGTTGGATGGCAGATACCACTTGGAACCCTGCAGCACAAAAGAGCCAATTCCGCCAAGGGCTTTCTGAACAGATAAAGGATGAGCTTGCCAGAGTAGATATTCCTAATGATCTTGAGGAATTTATCCAATTGTGTATCCAAATCGATCAAAGGCTTACAGAAAGGAGGAAGGAGAGGTTGGGAATGTTTGGAAGTAATAGGGGCATGCATCTCTCTGCTAGTCCATTTGTTCAGCAGGATTCAAGAGTCTCTCTGAGTTCTAACACTCCTGAGCCTATGCAGGTTGATGCGATCAAGAGATCCATTTCCATCCAGGAGAAAGAGAAGACGTTCAGAGAACTTATGTCTTTATTGTGGGGATTCTGGTCATTATGCAATTAATTGTCCTAACAAGGTTAAAAGAACTATTGCTGTGACTGATGTGATTGAACCTGAACACATAAACTCTATAAGCCAGTCTGTCTCCCCACTGATTTCTGAAGAGAATAAAGTGAACTCACTACTTTCTCACTTTGTTATCCCTATTAAACTTGTATCTGAGGGCTGTGAAATCTCCTGCTCAGCTATGCTGGACTCCGGGGCGGGGGGAACTTTATGGATATAGAGTTTGCCAACAGCAATAATATTCAAGCAAGAGACACATTTACCCCTATTGATATGGAGACAGTTGATGGGTCACCCTTATCTTCAGGACCTGTTACCCATAAAACGGTTCCCTGGTTCTGTTGTTTGAGGCTGACCATTGTGAGACCATCAGCTTTCAGCGGATTACATCACCCAAGTTTCCCATCATTCTGGGCATTCCTTGGTTCTCCACTCACAATACTGCCATTTACTGGGGAGCACGAACTATAGATTTTACGTCCTCCCACTGTAAAAAATATTGCAAAAAACCTTGCCAACCAAGTCCGTCACCAACCAAGGAGGCGCTAAGTGATATAGTGGCTATCCAGTCATATGACAATTTGCCCCCACATTACCATGAGTTCCGGGATGTCTGTGACAAGAAAAATGCAGATAAATTGCCCCCTCTTCGCCCATATGATTGCCCCATTGAGCTGTTCCCAGGGGCAGAAATACCTTTTGGCCGCCTGTTCAATATGTCAGAACCTGAACTAAAAGTACTCGGGGAGTGGATCGATGATAATTTGGGAAAAGGCTTTATTATACACTCAACTTCTCCTGCAGGGGCAGTCCTGTTCTTCATTAAAAAGAAAGACTCCACCTTGCGTCTATGCATTGACTACCGAGACATGAATAAAATCACTATTAAAAACCGCTATCCATTACCCTTAATCTCAGAAATGTTGGAAAGACTTCGTTCTGCCAAGATCTTTACCAAGCTTGATCTACGAGGGACATATAACCTTGTCCGCATTCGTCGAGGAGACGAATGGAAGACTGCCTTCAGAACCAGGTATGGGCATTTTGAATCCTTGGTGATGCCGTTTGGACTCTGCAACGCCCCTGCAACATTTCAACATTTTATCAACGATGTCTTTCGTGATCTGTTGGACCAATTTGTAATTGCCTATCTCAGGCATGTCCAAAGTCCGGCCCGCGGGCCATTTATGGCCCGGGGGTCGGTTTAATACGGCCCTCCAACAGCCCTCCCTGCTCTGTGTAATGTGGCCCTCCCACGGCCCTCCCTTCTATGACAGACAGTCTTCTGCTTGAGAGCAGAGGGCAGTGCGCATGCCTGACTGCGGCGCGTTCTCCCTAGTCTGTGTAAATGCGGCTGTCGCACGTCCCTCCCTTCTGTGGCAGACAGTCTTCTGCTTGAGAGCAGTGCGCATGCGTGACTGCGCCGCGCTGGGAGCAACAGAGGGCGGTGATGTCAGGGCCGGGCTTCCAGTGTGAAGTGTGTTTCTCTTCCCCTCCCAGCTGCCGAGCAGAGACTTCAGCTACAGCTACCTTTTTCACCCTTCACATTAGTGCAGGTAAGTTTTTTTAAAATTTATTTTCAATACATTGTGAAAACTTCAGCTGTCAGTTGATCTTAATGTTATGAAATGAAAAATATGTCGTTTGCAATTAACTTGACATAAAATAATTTATTTGCATTTAATTGTAATGGTTCAAAGAATGTTCGGAAAAATGTTCGGCCCTCCACCATGTTCACTTCATCCAATCTGGCCCTCTTTGAAAAAAGTTTGGACACCCCTGGCCTATCTGGATGATATCCTTATCTTTTTTGATAATTGGGAAGAACACTGCAAACATGTTTGCACAGTTTTCAAAAGATTAAGGAAAAATAGACTTTACATTAAATTGGAGAAATGTGAGTTTGAACAAACCCAAATCCAGTTCTTAGGCTATATCATTTCTCCGGAGGGAGTGAGCATGGACCCCGAGAAGGTCAAAGCAGTGGTAGATTGGTCAGCACCTAGAAATGTTAAGGAAATTCAACGTTTTGTCGGGTTTGCCAACTTCTACAGAAAATTTATAAGAAACTTCTCTAGAGTGATCGCACCAATCACCCAACTTACAAAGAAAGGGGTACCCTTCGTGTGGACCTCTGAGGCACAAGCTGCGTTTGAAAAGCTGAAGACTCTTTTCACTTTCGCACCAATCTTGGTACATCCCGATCCTGAACTACCCTTTATAGTGGAAGTGGATGCTTCCAATTCTGCCGTGGGAGCGATCCTGTCTCAGCGAAGTGATGAAAAGATGCAGCTTCATCCTTGTGCCTATTTTTCCCATTTGATGTCTCCAGCCAAAATAAATTACGACATTGGGAACAAAGAGCTACTGGCAATTAAGGAAGCCTTTTCGGAATGGAGGCATCTACTAGAAGGGGCTAATCACCCTGTAACTGTTCTCACTGACCATAAGAATCTGGAATTTGTTCGCTCGGCCAAGAGAGTGTCTTCTAGACAAGCACGTTGGTCGCTATTCTTTTCCAGATTTTATCATTTCATATCGACCTGGATCGAGGAATGGCAAAGCCGATGCCTTATCAAGGATGCTGTCTGAGCCTCCCCAGGATGTAATACCGAATGTTCGATTCTAACCCAAAAGAACTTTCTAGGGGCCACAAGTGCAAAGACATTCTTGAATCTTCTCAAAGAGGGGTATGAGAACGACCCACTTCTCAGTGATACTCCTAGAGACATTAACTTTGAGTACAAGAACGGGTTTTGGACTCTAGAGCATCGTCTCTATGTACCTAAGTCGGCTTGGATGGAAGTCCTCAAATTAGTGCATGACTCCAAACTGGTGGGACACTTTGGGATGTCAAAAACAGAGGATCTTCTGGCACGTTCCTTCTGGTGGCCTTGTTATAAGAAAGATATCAAAAGCTACGTGGCCTCT